ATCCTTTCCAGAAACAACCCAGGTGGTTCTCTTAAACACACCTTAAACGCACAGTCCTTTGTTTGTGTTTTCAGCTAGATCCCCAATGAAATTGGCTCAGACCCAAGTGTTCTCATTGACCTCCTGAATTTAGCATAAGGTCATTCAAGGCTCTGGAGCTTCTAAACAGCCTGTTGGGTGAAGCCAACACAACAGGTCCTTTGTCCATCATCTTTCCATGCCATGTGAGATCCCAAACCACACCTCGGAAAATTTCCTATTGGCTAATGCCCATTCAAGCCAATCTACATAGAGGACATCTGTTCATTCCTTGTCTCCTGCCCTCCCCTTTCAAGGGAATACAAAGACTGGATGCCTTGTTAGTTAAGCAAAGAGGTTTGGAAAGAACAGGAGAGAGAATCCCTCAACTGGATACCAGACAATGGATAATGGTAAAAGGGGTAGGCCTGCTGTAGTTTATCTTTCCCTTAATATGAACTCCTCCTATTCTACTAGGTCAAGGAGACACTGGAAAAAATAGAAAAGAAGCTAACTTACATGGGATAAGAACAATAATCTTGTGCAACTTCTACTGTGGACACCTCAGGGTGTTTATATGATACATTATACGTACATGATAACACTGTGTTATCCAGACATACATGTGCTACAGCTTAAGTCTTGACTGGCCGACATTCATTAGTGATAAAAGCATCAATAAACTGGGAATAGAAGGGTGGACTATATAAGCTAATGATTTCTTTGTTTAGCTGATGGCCACTATCCTCAAAAGCTTTTAGTAAATCTAAAAGGTGCTAACCATGATTATTCTTGGGAACCAAAGAGCAAATATTAGATAAATTTACTGTTTTCTTAACATATTCTTTTAATGTGCTGACGTACCCTAGCAAAGGCAACAACCTTAAGTTTGACAATTAGATGCAGATTATAGGTGGCTGATGACCGCTGATTTTTAGACTTTAGACAGGACACTCCCCCCCCCCCAAGAAAAAGTCCTTCAAATTCAGATGGCATAACTTACCACGCTGCCATCTCAATGTTGGATCCTGTTCATTAGATTATAATCTTTTCCGTACTTTAAGGCTTCTACGTGGGTTTGCTACATCAGGCATGGAATCTGCCACGGTTTGCAGCACTGTCATAGAACTTGTCAGTTCAATCCCTTTGTTCAGAAAGTACATCCTTATTCCAGAATCAGGTTGATCCACCTAGCACTGAAATGTGCCAGGTAGCCATATTGGCCAAACACTTCCTTACCTGGAAGTCATTTTCACCTCAGAGGAAATGTATTTTTGGGAAGAGAAGTCCCTAAATTGGGGCATCATGTGAATCATGGGAAAGCAACCCCTCACATAGCAATACTGGGAGCCTCAACTTAATCGTTTAACTGAAAGCTGCTGTTCTTAATAGCAGTTATTAGCACATTAAAAGAGAATGCTGGGGAAACAGTACATTTCTCTTACATTTGTTCATGGGTTCCCCTGGATAAGTGCCCAGATTATCACTGCAGGTTCTACCTTCCACTTAAGTCTTTCCTTGCCAACTGGCTGGCCAGAAGGACACATCCACTCTTTCCTTCAGGTATACTTCTTGACTTAAACTATTAAGAAGGTCATAAAGAATCCTGCTTTCTATTTACATATAATTATGTACACACAGGCTGTATAAATCTGTTATCAATAAGCATGTGAACTTCTACAGGGTGCAAGGCACTGCATGTGCAGTGGGTGCTGTAGGGGATACTGGGAAGTACAAGATATGGTCTTTATTTTCTAGAACCTTAAAAGTCTCATTGGACAGATGGGACGGATACACAAGAAGTCAGTCAGCCAATAGACACTCATTAAGCACCTACTGCATGCCAGGCAACATGTTAAACACTGGGGATACAAAAAGAATAAAAGACACTCCTTGCCCTCATGGAGCTCATACCCTAATAGAGGGAAACAAGAAGGAAACAAATACGTACAAACAAGGTATATGTAGAACAAATAGGAAATAATTAAGGAGGAAGGTACTAGAATTAAAAGTGGTTGGGAAAGGCTTCTTACAGAAGATGGGATTTTTGTTGGGCCTTAAAGCAAGTCAGAGTAGGCAATAGGTGGAGATGAGGAAGGAAAGCATTCCCAGGCATGGAGGACAGCCAGAGAAAATGCCTAAAGCGGAGAAATGGAGTGTCTTGTTTGTGGAACAACAAGGAGGCCCATGTGACTGAACAAAAGAGTACCTGGAAAGGAGTAAAAAGATTGCACAGGTAGGTTAGGGTTAAGTTTTGAAAGGCTTTGAATGCCAAACAGAGGATTTTGTATTTGAACCTAGAGGTGATTGGGAACTACCAGCATTTATTGAATAGGGGGCATGATGTAGATAGACCAGTATTTTAGGAAAATGACTTTAGTGGCTGAATGACAGCAGTGGGCAGAAACTTGAGGCAGGCAGATCCATCCAGCAGGGTATTGCAATAGTTCAGGCAAGATGGGATTAGGCCTGCACCAGGGTTGCAGCAGTACCAGAGAAGAGAAAGGAGCAAATATATATTCAAGAGATGATGCAAAGGTGAAATCAACAAGCCTTGGCAACAGATTGGATATAGGGAGTGAAATATGGTGAGAAATTGAGGATGATATCTAGGTTGTGAGCTTGAGAGACTAGGACGATGGCGTCATCCTCAACAGCAATAGGGAAGTTGGGAAGGGGGAGGGCTTAGGAGAAAGATAATAAGTTTGGTTTTGGACATTTTGAGTGTAAGATATTTACTGGATATCCAGTTAAGATGTCTGAAAGGAAGTTGGATATGTTGGATATGTGAGATTAGAGGTAGAGAGGTTGAGGCAGGATAGGTAGATTTGAAAATCTTGTAGATTGCATAGAGATGGTAATTAGATCATGGAAGCTACTGAGCTCACCAAGTAAACTAGGATAGAGGGAGAAGAGAAGGGGGCTCACGACAGAACCCTGAGGGACACCTATAGTTAGAGGACCTGATATGGATGAGGATCCAGCAAAGGAGACTGAGAATGAGTGGTCAGAAGGGTAGGAGGAGAGCCAGAAGAGTGATTTTTCAAAAACCTAGAGAGAAGAGTATGTCAAAGAGGAGAGGGTGATCAACAGTGTCAAAAGCTGCAGAGAGATGAGAGAAGGCCACTGAATTTGGTAACTAAGAAATCATTGGTAACTTTGATATCTGACAAATTTCAAGTTATATTTTAGTTGTGATCATTATCCTGAGAATCACCATGTATTTTTTTTCTCTGCTTTTCTTTGACATCCACTGTCATTGACCCAGATACATCACAATGGAGTGGAATGGGGTAGAGCATGAGGAAGAGGTGGTAATGGAGAAAGATGCTTCAGAGAAGTAGAAGATAGAGCAGAAGGTCTGATAACCTACACACCATGGAAGAGGAAAGAACAGAGAACAGCAGGGAAGAGTTTTTCTTTATTGCAGGGTGGTATTAGAGGGAGACAACTATTTAGGGTCAATTATTGGCTTTGGGGATTTGGTGATCAACTTTGGTGGTTCCAAGTACAAGGTTTCTATTGCCTAACTTGATGGCAGGCTTCAGAAAGCCCACAGTAGCATCTCTAAGAAGGCCAGAGGGATTCAGTGAATGAAGCCATTATTTATAAGCTTCCCCATTTCTGATACCACTAAATTTTGTACGTTGTGATATGCTAGTATAAAGGAATAGATACATCTGGCCTTGGAGAGAGGGAAGAAAATTCCTTCTTTCCTTCCCTCCCTCTACTCCCTCCTTCCTTCCTTCCTTGGAAGGACTTACACTGACCTCTGACAGGAAGGCTGGTGTCTTTACTAGAGTAAAGTTATCTATGATTAACATCTTTAGGAAGAAAATGACTCCCAAAGAACATAGTCTGTCTTTCTATTTATCAATCTATTGTGTTTTTTTTTCAGGCAGGCAGTATTGGTAAAGTTTGAGGTCTCAAAAAATATTAGTTGGTTCACAGTGACTTAAGAATCAGAAATTTCTGTTTACATACTGCACAGACAGCACCTTGAAACACAGATGCCCAAGTCTAATTTTATTAAATATGGAAGCACTGTTCTCTCTCAACATTAATCAAAAGGTTAAAAAAAACCCGAGGTCACTATTAGGACATACATCTATACAGAATAATTTCAGTGAGGGGAAGTGTAAATATTTTTTAAAATTTGCAATATTTTAAAGGAACATGGAAAATATGTGACATTTATATAGCAATTTATGATTACAAAGTACTTTTGCATACATTCAAAAAGAGGGAGTATGGAGTAATGCTAGGTGGAGAAATGAATAGAGTGCTGGGCCTGATGTCAGGAAGACCTGAGTTCAAATCCAGCCTCAGACACTTACTAGCTGTGTGACCCTGGGCAAGTCACTTAACCCTGTTTCCCTCAGTTTCCTCATCTGTAAAACAAGCTGGAGAAGGAAATGGCCAAGAAAACCCCAAATGGGGTCATAGAGAGTCAGACAAGACTGAACAACAACAAATGGATTGTTTAGAAAGAGTTCTGGACTGGGGGTCCGAGGACCTAGGTTTGACTAGTACTTACCACCAGTGTGACCTATGACAACCATTCTGGGCCTCAGTTTTCTCATATGTAAAATAAGAGAATTGAACCAGGTGATGTCAAGGGTCTCCTCCTGCTCTAATACTATGATCCAATAATAGTGATAGCTAACATTTATATAGTGCTTACTAAAGCACTGTGTCAAGTGCTTTACCATTATTATTTCATTTGATCCTCACAACAGCCCTGGGAAGTGGGTGTTGTTACTATTCTCATTTTACAGATGAGGAAACTGAAATAAAAAGAGGTAAAGTGACTTGCCCAGGGTCAAACAGCCAGCAAGTGTCTCAGGTTGGATTTGAACTCAAATCTTCCTGACTTCAGGTCCAGCACTCTATCCACTGTGTCATCTAACTACCATCATTTTATTTGATACTCAAAACAAAGTGGTACAGAAAGCAAGACAGAGATTATTATTCTCATTTTACAGGTGAAGATACCAAGGCTCTGAAAAGTAAGTGATTTGCTCCATATCACACAGACTTTCATTTATTTTTGCCTAAATGATTTAAGCTTAAGCCAACAATTTCAAAATATATTAACTAGAAAAAAACATTTAGGCTCAGTATGTTCACACAGTAAAGATCTTTGGAAGAGTTTGACAATATATACCAATGAGTTGACCACGATCACTTTTTCTTCAGTTAATACCAAGGATATCTTGGCGGCTGAAGCTAAAGTTTAACCACTTGCCCATGAGTAGAATTCCATATTATCCAATAGGAAGGGAACAAGTTGTAGAGAGAAACACTACTTCCTGTCAGTTCCTCCACAATAGGAATCTTTAAGGACCCTCAATTATAAAGAAATAAGTGCTTAGAGGTTTGATAAGAACTGTTCATGTGAGAGGGCAGCATAGTTTTAAACAGTCAGAATATTTAGTTTATAAACAATCTGTTTAAAAATCCATCCAACTCTTTGTTGCTTTGGGTCCAAGGTGATATAACAATTATATCTCTTACCCAGAAAAAGTTGAAGTAAACAGTACCCTAAAGGGAGTCCACAGAACAGGCTGTCTCACTTCTGGAAGTTCATAACCATACCTCTCTCCTTACTACAATTTGCATCTGCTAGGGAGTTACTGCTTTTGGCAACCTGGGGGTATACTCAGAAATCTCTAATCCATATATTGACCTGAATTGACTCTTTGGTTTGTGAAATCTGACCAAATTATTATTTGTTTTGCTATCGGGGCCATAGACTAAGCTGGCTGTTGAGAAATATCTGGTTCGTGGTCTAGTTGAGCTTTGTATTTCCTGTAATCGCTAATGAGGGTGAAGGGGTTGGGAACTTTTTTTTGTATTTCCTTGGTGTCTCATCTGGTGTCTACTCTATCTTGGAGTGGCCAATAAATTACAGTAGCTTAGCCTTGGTTTATCCATTTCAGATGCACAATTTAAGGATCGAAGAAGGCTTCCTCAGCAATCTGATACTCTTCAGTGCACAGCTAAAGTATCTTCATAAAATCGATGCCATTGATTTTAAGGCTTGGGGATTGACATAGAGCTGGTATTTGGATCTGTGATAGGAGTTGTCTGGGACAAAGAATAAGGGGCTTTACAATCACAGGCAGCATCATGACTGGACTGGGAGAATGACAAGCCCAAAGGTAGTTTATGCAGCAATAAATCTTGTTCAAATCTAGAGACAAAGGAGTAGCTTAATCAGTAACCTGCACCATTGCTCCAGGACAAAGACTTAACCCTCTTGAAATGACACAGGTTCAAAAAAAAGGACTTGATATCCACCCGTCTTCCCATGTATTACCTTTCTGCACTAGGGCAAAGAAAATATACATGCAATCATCAAAATGCAGCTGTTGGTCATGAGAAGTATAAATGGGATCTCAAACAATAAACAAATCAGCATCTTCATTCACCCAAGAAGTGTCCAAAGGACTCTCACATAACCACTGGATCACCTCCTACAACTTGGGACTATCATCTGGTAAGGCTTCTTTTTACCTTTACCATCCATCACAAAATCCTGCTGATTAATATTTAAATCACTAATATAATCTGAGGTTACTTATCGATTCAGTACTGAAAAGAAATCCATTGGAGGAGCACTATTTATGTGAATCTCATTTATTAATCGCTTGGTGTTACTTTGATTTTAAAAAGTCAGTCTTTCTAAAGTATCTTAGCTTTAATCTGTGTTCTTTTCTGCACATCTAATTTATACATATCCTGAAGCCACCAGGTGTTCAGTCCTGGTACTTGGTAGCCCCCAAATCCAAGGAAACAAAGCAGTATTCTTATCCAGACTGATAAAAGCCTATATAAGATTTAGCATAATTCCATCTCAAAACAATAAATATGTATGGTCAACTGCTATTGAACTCAGGGAGTATGTCTAATTCAGAATTGTGGCACATAATGAGAAGGGCAGAAAGGGGTGGGTATGTAACAGGAAGTTGTTTGCTTTAGAAGTTAGACCTAGATAAACTTCTAAATCTGCTAAAGTATCTGTGTTTGACTATCTGGGTCACATGTTTGATGGGCTGTACAAGTCAACATCAATGATGAACTTATTTGTACCCCCAGAACTTTGCCATGATAAGCACTAATAAGCGTGCATTCATTTGCCAGACCATCACCCATGTCTCTTAAAAGCTTTTACTATACATACCCATAGTAAAGTTATGGTTGGCATCTAAACAACTTTTCCCAGCCAGCCAGTCAACAAGCATTTATTAAATACCTATGTGCCAGGCACCATACTAAGCTCTGTGCATGGAACCATCCAGATCTGGAATATAGCTGGCAAGCCATTTACCAAGGCACGAAGACTTTTTAAAAGTAGCTTGTCAGTTGGCTAAAACCAAATCAAACCCACCAATGCCACCTAATGGCCATCTTTCAGTCATATGCTCTGGAAGTAATAAATACTAGTTTTTGATTCTTGGTGAAAGTTTCAAATGACTTGGCTGTGTTTTAATTTCTAGCATTTCTCAGAGGAATGTACAGGCTGTTTAAGAAGATTCCTTTAAATAAAGGTGTAAGCAGAGGACTTTAGCACTAGTCTGGCCTTTACTTATTTGGGTGGGGAATACCTTTTTGGGTGAAGTCTCCTTTTACTTTGGCCTAGAACCCTAGACCCACAATTAAGAGGTAGAAATTGTCTTATGTAACATATGCCATTTTAATTGCACAGGTAGAAAGAAAAACTCTTCCTGTAATTCTATCTGCAGCAGGAGAGAGGCTGCTTTTATCTTCTACATATGGTGATGTGGATTCTAAGAGAAGCCAGGTTCTTATCACCACAGGCCAGTCTGATTTGGTAGTTCTTCAGTTTCCTCATAATTTGTCACCTCCCTCCGAGTCAAGGGTAACTTCTGGATGCCAACATTCCCCTCAACTGAAAGGAATTCCAGGTTGAATGGGAACGTTAACATCAGCTTTTAGATCATATGTTGCCTCCTCAAAGCACTTAAGAGTTTAGGTGCTTACAGACACCCAGGATGATAACAAAACAAGTGTCTTGGAGACAAGAAGAGTGATGTATTATTAGTTCACTTTCCTTATATCTGTCTCCTGAGATCCTCTGCTCACAAGCAAGCCAGTCTTTTGCTTTTGTCAATTCGTTTCAATTCAATTCAACCTTATCTAAACCTTCATTATGTGCTTACTATGTAAAAAGAACAGTGTTAGGTATATGGAGAGATCCAAAAATTAACCCCAAAGTACTTTCCTCACTTCTAAAATACGTGATATTGCCTTTTGTAAGGGTCTACTGTGTGTGTATGTCACCTGAAGAGCAGCCTAAGTTCGGAACCACTGGTGACAGAGTGATACATTTTTTTATTCTTAGCAGTTCTCGGAGACTATGTACCAAAGTGGAGAATAGTACCCATACCAATGCCATTTGGTGTCATTGAAGTAAGTGTGAAAATGGGAATGCTGCTCAGCGGAGAAACGTAGAAAGTCTGTTTCAAGAGAGGGATTTCTCACCAGTTTCCATTTATGACAACTTTTCCAGTGATAACTGTGTAGCTAGAACTGGCATTTACAGTAAACTGGTTTTGGTGGCAACCATGTTGGTGAAACAAAGAGAAGTCAAAGAAAACACCGTACACCTAACAGTCCTGCAAGTGAAGAGAATGCTGAACTGCAAATGAGAATCATTTCCCTCACAAGAACCTGGAAATGCTCTGTTTTGTAACAAACATGAATGATCTAACCACAAACCAAGCTGATTCAAGGCAGGGGTTGAGTTGGAGATTGGGGGTGGGGTGGGGTAGGGAGGAGAGTAGTGTTTCCTGCTGTGTGAAGACCAGGAGACCAGGGAACAGGATTAGAAGACAAGACTTAATGCACCCTCTAGTGGCTAATATGCAGACAATTCTTTCACTATTTACGAGGCCCAAGTTTTGACCATGAAACCCTCTTCTCTTTGATTTATATGCTACACAACAGCAAAATAAATAATATCTTCCTGTTGTCATATGATGGCTAAATTATTTCCATTGGTTTCTGTGAATAAAATTGCTTTTTGAGTTTTACAGACAATAAATAATAATAATAAAAAAAATGAGGGTTCCCCCCCAAGTTCCACATAATGGAAATAGCTTCATTCCAAATGTCATAGGACATTTTTAAATGAAATGGCTTCAAAGCAGAATGGCCTAGAGGGGTGGGGAGCTGAGGAGTCGTCTTTGCTGCTGAAGGAAAGGCAAGTTTAGAAATGAGTGGCTTACCAGAGGTATTGCTTTTCACTGCAGTGTTATTTAGATGCCAAGGGAATAATTGGCTATGTTTAAAAAAAATGAGTACATTCATTTTCGCATACCTTTAATTTTCATGAAGTATGTTAAAAACCTCAGGTAATCAGAACCCTCAATTGAATGCACTTTCCCCCTAGCAAATCACAAGAAAATAAGCCCATTTAAAGAATTATTTTTTTAAAGGTGGTTTCTAGACTGTGTCTCGGGTTCCAGGACCAATCAACACTGTTTCCTATTCCAATGGTCCTGGGCAATAAGAAATAATGTTTAAAAAAAAGACCTTTGAGAAAGAGCCTTAGGCTTTAAATGATGCTTACTAGCTACAACCTACCTAGGCAGGGAAAGAGAATCAGACAACTTAGAAAAAGTTTCACCAATAATGACTCAAAGAGAAAGGAGTTTGTGTTTAACTGAAAGATAATCAGAAAGTAATTCCTAGAAATATTAATCCCAGTTAACCGAAGTTTTTATAAAAGCCAACTGACAACAAATTCATTTTGCTAGGTTGACTACCCTTAAAATTAAAGGCATCTGATACTGGAAAGGTCTATTTAAAATACTGTTTATTTGTGATTTAACATTAATTAGCATTACATCTAGGAGCAATCTCAGATAACATTTATATATTTTTCCACAGGACACAGAGTTGGTTGGCTCATTCTTTATGCCAAAGCAAGTCAATAGAGGCATTAGCAGAAGGTGCAAAGAGCTCACTGTTGCATTTAAAAAATACTTATGCACATTGTATTCATTTAGATAGATTCTTTGTTTAAAAAAAGTTATGAAAAGCATAGTTCACAGATTACTGTTTCTACATATGTTGTAATACAACACAAATGATGTAGAACATAAACAAAAATCCTCAAAAACAAAGTTAAGCAAAACTGAAAATTTTCACTAAGAGATTAAAAACACTGATTCCAGTAGTTAGTGATATCTAGAATATGGTTTCCAGGATTCATTTTAACTTGGCATCATCACACATATACAGTCAAAACAGAACCAGCCCCATAACACACCATAATCAACGTGATTTTTTGCATGCCAACTCACCCTCCAGAAATACCTTGGATTATTTTGCCCACTGGCCATTTGGGGATCACAATGATCAGTCACTAATTTGTGGTGGATTCATGAAGTCAAATTTTCATAGAAAGAAAAAACTGCTATGTTAAGTTTAGATTTAGACTTCTATTTACAATAGAAAGGAAGAAAACAGAAAAGATGAGACAATCGATAAAAATGAAGAAGTGGTAGTTTCCCCTGCTGGCATACACCATGCTCACCTATTCTAGTGCTGTCCAATGGGACATAAGTCAGAAGTATCTGACCCTTATAAAATGTAAATGCAACCAAGTAAAGAGTTGCTTTTGGCAGAGACATGAATTTTAAAAGTTTTAATGCACATTTTTCATGCCAATTTAAGAAATCATGATCTATACTGCACAGGCATACGCCATACCAGGCATTCCCAAAAGGGGACTTTTCTCACCCAACGTCTCATTTTATTCTTGACATTTCACTTTCTGTTAAACAATTTCCCCCTTTCATTTGGTTATTTATTGAGATTAATTTTTCATTCATTAGCAATACCAAGAGAAACATTTACTAGGATTTTAAACATGAATCCAGTTTCATTTTTATGTGCTATGATCCTTTTGATCCTGAGCCCCTGGATTCTTGAATTCTATTTAAGTACACTCAGTCCAAAGCATTTTCAGATAGGCTCTACTGATAAAAGATTGGCTTAAATGGTTATAACACTTTTATACTGAATGGTATACAAACATCTCAACATACAAAAATTTGTTTTGCCAGAGTTAAACTAAGTTATCCATGTTAGGTGTACAAAATCCCCTTTATTGAAAAATAAGGGGTTTTCTAACTAATAAAAAAGGAAGTTTTCAAAAATTATATTTCACTAAAATGAAATATTTGGCAAACAAAGTTACTTCAGATGAGGCCATTTTACACAATGCAAAAGATTCCAAATCAACCTTTGCTTAAAGTTTTGTTTTTCTATTAGGTGCCAGTGTATACCTGTTCTGTAGGATGTAGTCTAAAAAGATTTACATATTCTGTTACTGTCTATCCACTGAAACAGTGGGTACAGAAACAGAAAAGATGTGGTCAAAAATAATAATAAAAAAGTATAATCTTATTACCAAGTGAAGCACAGCTCGAAAAATAAAAAAATTCTCTTGCTCCCTCACTGGTAATATTCCCAGACAGACACGACGGTGAAAGAAGGCCTGAAGCACTTCAGGGAAAGCTCAGGCTATGGGGCACTGCATGAATACCTGCTAGAGCAGATCTCATTTAAACTGCAAAATGTTTCAAACTCAGAGCAATTTTTGGACCTACAAAATGAGAGATGAATTCGGGTTTTACATCTTTTCTTTTTAATCCAACCCTTTTCCAGTTCAGTTTTTAATTTTTAAGTCCAGTTTGCTGTCAATCCCTAATGCTGATCTACAAATGTATATTAATGGTTGACTTAAATGTGGCTTTTAAATGTGCAATGTCACATTATAATAAAAAGGAGGTACTTAGGCTTCAACTTTCTCCTTTTTCTTGTTCTTTTTCAGAAAAGATGGAGTGCGGAACTTCTTCTTTTTCTTGGATGGTGATTTGGAAGGAGAGCCTTCAGGGGAGAGGACTTCTTCAATTTTTTCAGAAGGCCTAATGGTAATCTCAACATTCTCTACAGTTGTGCTCGTGGTTAATCGACTCACACGCTTGGCAAGATCATCTTCTACCTCATGCATATCATCTTTGCCATTCACTACCACGATGGGCACTTCCATGGACATGATGCTCTTGGAAAATATCTCATGGTTTTCTACAAAAAGGAAGTTTTCCTGTTACTGGCAAGGCTTAACATGTTTGTTCAAACATTTGGATTTTGTGAAAAAAAATGTGCAAAATTTTTTTTAAATCACATTGAAGAAAAAACTTTAATAGAATACAATTTCTCAAGTTTCATTAAATGCCAGTTTCTGGGTAATTCACATCACAATTACATGAGGACATTCCAACAATCAATCTCAGAAAGATTATACACTCCTGACAGCAAGAACTTAGACAAATCAAATTGAATACAATTCAATCCAATAAGCAGTTGTGAAATGTCTACAATGTATCAAGGCATTGCTGTATTACCTTGGACATTACTGAGGCAATATCTTTGAGTTGGGCATACAAAGACAAGAATAAAACAGTCCCTCAAAGAGCTTAATAACTGCTTATAGCTGAAGTTCAGCATATGATTTGTCTTTAAAAATAAAATCATTAGCCTCTTTTATGAAAAAAAATCTCACCCACTGGAGAGTTCAATAATATCCAAGGCAAACTTGTTATCATTGAGAATTTAATTTCTTTACATGTGATAACATGAATGATACGGGAGACAAGCTATAAGACCATCTCAGGGGTGACTAAGGGAAACTACATTGAATACCTTCTAATTTTTCAGGGACATTTTGCGGTGACTGAGTTTGAGACTGAATTTGTGAGACAGATGAACCATCATCTGAGACTATTTCCTGCTCAGCATCTGTAGGATAAGAGTTTAGTTAAAAGCCATGCAAAACAAATGATTGAGATTTCAGTCCAAGTTAGCGCATTCATTTACAGGGTTTGTTTATAATAAGACAATCCACCCTTCATCAATGAATTTGTTGTGCTAAAGCTTATCACAAGGTTAGTAAGTATTTGTTTTAGGAGGTTAATGTGTTAAAGTTTTTGGCTGGTATCAGGAAGCATCAATAAATTAGCTAGTTTACACCCAGGATTAAAAAGGAAGTCGGGTCTGGTACAGAGCTATTGGTCACCCAAGCCAAGCAAGAGCCTATGTGTATAACTCTCAGCTGCAGGCTTACCTAGAAAATACCAAATGCACTTTGTGGCCTTAAACAGTTATGAATCATTGCTCACTGTGCTACATTAGTGCAGGAGAATGCTTTGTCCTGTTGAACAATATCCATTGCTAATTCCCGCCATAGCAATATTAGTAGGCTATTACAGAATATGATGATGAAAGTGGACAAGCTTTAAAGGTAGATAAAATACATTTAAGTTTCTAAAACATAATATTTGTTACCTAGTATCTTTAGGCTTTCGAAAATAAGAAATTAAAAAGGAACATTTTATAAATATAGAAACTGGAAATAGCTGCCAACCTTATGTTAATATAACAACTAAGTTCAAAAATACTCCTTCGAATATTTATTATATTAATGAGTCAAGATGACTCTCTTCTTTAATGATACACTGATGAAAACTTCTGCTCTAGAACATCCAAATGTCCTTAATTTCTCCAGTAGGGCTTCTAACAGGGACAGAGTTCTTGAACTACCTTGGCTCTTTGCTTCTGGGTGAGGAGTAAAGATAATTATATGTATTTTTCTAAGCAGTGATGTGAGTGAGAGCCATTGTGCATGCTGATAGAGTCTCCTTAGAAAAAAGAATTGGCTGGGATGCTTTTGTTAATATTTCCAAGATCTAATCCTAAAGCAGAACTGTGGAGACAGGACAGTCACTTGGCATTCTGGCACTCAGCCAGGCTTTGCCTGCTGGGCTGCCACTGAGGACTATTTTCAAATACCTCAGAATTCTTAGAGTTTGGTTTTTGCCATTGATTTTTTCCAATTATTTTTTTCCAACTATTATATTATTATTTTTATTATCCAATT